AGCTTTCCCCAGATTTTTTTTTATTATCTCCTTCATGTGGATGACAAGAAAGGAAAACCCAGGGGTAACATTGTACAAACTTTTAAAGAAAAGTCTCTGGATGCTTGTTACCAAATGCCATATTGACGTCTGCAACTGGACTGGTTCTGTGTGTGTGTTGAATGAGGGAAGCTCATTTCAGATATTTTCCTGTGGTGTCTTTGTCCTATTCACAGCCAGAACAGCTTATGTTTCTCCGGGCTAGGCCCTTGTTCATTATTGAAGCCCCAGCCTCAGCATGGCTGAATCCACTGCCTTGAGTTCGCCACATTAATATTGCAGGCAGGGCTCTTGAGGACCTAAATATTTGATCAGAGTGTGTGCTGGGCTGTCAGTGAGCCATATTCGGAGCAAATGAGACCCTCCTTCCCTTCCGCACCACCCAAAGCGGCATGAGGCCTGGCTACCCTCAGACAGTTGTCTGGTCAGTTGTCTATGGAGAGTGAATCACTGTGGAGAAGACAGGGTGAAACAATAAAGACGTATTAATTACCACAGTCTCGGAATTCACTTTTTATACCTCACATCTGACAGCCTGCAATAGTATCCTGCCATCTGGATGGGAGGGAAAGGCAGGGGTCCATGACCCCCTGGGAGGGAAAGGCAGGGGTCCATGACCCCAGCCAAGGCCTGGCACACACTAGGCCCCCATGCATGTTTGTCTGTGAGCAAGTGATTTGTCCTTGGAAACTAAGAATGTTCATTCACTCACCACTTATTGAGCAACTACTGAGTACCAAGCTCTGTGCTATGCACTTTGTAATGATTGTCTTAATTGCACTTAGGACAGTGCCTAGCCATGATGTTTTCAAAGGATTAGCTATTATAATAATAACGAAGAAATGCTATTATTTCTTCATTATTATTAATTATTTTCTCAATTCTATGAAGGAGGCATAATCACTATTCTCATTTTACAGATGAGAAAACAGAGGCCCAAAGTCTCAGGTAAGGAGACAGGAGGCTGGCCACAGACCTTGACAATTCATTCTAGATCTAGAACTGGACATGGATGCCCTGGCTCTAGATCTAGGCTCAGGGCTGCCTGGAACTCCGTGCTTGTTTATCCAGGTTCCCCCCGCCCCTGGCTCTGGCATGAGCCCCAGGTCTCTGGTACCTGCTCCAAGGCTACAGGGGGAGAGGGACAGATGAATTCCTCAGGCTAGTGGATAGGCATAGCCCTGAAGGGAGAAGACAGTGGTATTCACAGAGGAGGGCCCACCCCTCAAGCTGACATCTAGCTTCTCACTGCTAATAGAGCTTCAAGGCCTGAGTGACAAGGGCCTGGAAGGGGAACAGAAGTGATCTGCAGGGATGTCTGGGGGATGATATAGTGCAGAGGATGGTGATGGACGAGGAGGCAGAAAGCTGGCCCTCAGGAACACACTTAGCCATGAGACATTAATACTGAGCTGGCACCTTGAGACGAGCCCCCCTGGAGCAGGCTTGTGCTGCACCCCAGTGAAGAGTGAAGGTCTACCCTATGCAGGGGCAAAGGGGAGGGGCCAGTCCCACCTGTCAGGTCTGTCTAAGGTCACTACCTCATTGCCCTCGGCAGTTTTCTGACAGATGGATCCTGGTCCCTACATTCTCCCCGTTCTCTCTGTAACACCACGTCTCCTGTCCCAAGAATACTATCACTCTGTGAAAACAATCAAGGGGGTGTATGAATTTATTCATATTGGTGTTCATCATGGTGGTGATAACAGTAATGCTGAATCTGTATGACTAGACCCATTCACACCCACAATCACTGATTCTCTCATTCATTCATCAGACATGCTAGGAGGGGCAGAGTATCACTCCTCTACCTTAAATCCTCCGTTGACTTCCCATCACACTTAGAATAGAAATCACACTCCTCACCTGGCCTGCAAAGCCCTGAGTAATACACTGGCCTAGCTCTGATGTCTTCTGTCTCTCTAGTAGCACCGGCTGTTCCCTTTGTCTGAAACTCCCCTCCTCAAATCTTCCCATTATCTTTCAGCATGGGCTCAACAACCCCTCCCTGGCAGGCCTGACGCCTGAGGTGGCCTCCCTACTAGGGGTTCCTCTACCCCATCACCCTGTTTGTGTTTCTCAATAAATCATTTCATTTAAATAATTTACTTGTTGTTCACGCCCATTGTCAAAGCTCATGAGAACAGGGCCTTTCTTGTTTACTGCGGTAGCCTGAGTGTTCGCACTCAGGCCTGGCATTGGCGAAGAAAGAAGGGAGGGAGGGAGGGAGATCAAGCAGGTCTTTTGTGCCGGCTTTGAGGTGGGCTTGGGGGCACAGCTGAGAGTGCCTAGAAAGCAGAGACTGGGGGGCGGGGAGGGAAGGCCCCTGCAGGTACCACGACCCACTGTGCTCGGGCCTGTGGGGTCTCTTTATTTCAGGAGAGGAGCAGGGCAGGTGTGTCTCCGACCTTGTTACACGCGAGCCTCTTTAGAGACCGGCGGGCGTTCAGAGACCCCGCTCTCCCCCTCCCGCAGCACTCCGGGCCGGCCCCTCCTCGCGGTCAGGTGCACGCGGCGCTCAGTCCAGGGGCCTGCCTGCCCTGCTTGTCATTCCGGCCGCGGCTTCCTTCGCTCACGCGCTTCCCACTGCGCCAGGAGTGGGTTTCTGATAACGTCCGAGTAAATTATTTAAGAGACTTTCCGCCAGGCGGGGATGAAACGCGGCTGATAACCGGGCGGGGGCTGAAGGGGAGGTTCAGGGCTCCTGCGCGGGCCGTGGCGGTTCACCCCGCGCCCCCTGCAGGCCGTTTCGCGTCCGCATTAGCGTGTTGATTACACCTGCTGCCCCCCTGCGGGGCGGGGGAGGCGGCGGCCTGGGGATGGTCTCACTCTTGGGTTCAAAGAACCACGAAGGAACCCTGGGGCAGGGAGAACAGGCTGGGGTCACAGGCTGAAAGGACTAGAAGGAACCCCTCAGAAGCCCCCCAAATAGGAAAAGTTTCCTGGCACAGGCAGGAATTGGGGCAGGGAGCCCCTGCCCTGGAATGGCAGGTATCGCATGCAGGGAGGGGTGCAGGAGGAAGTGGGGGTACGGGGTGCCCTGTGGAGAGTGGAGGGCCTCAGACAGGGATGTGGTTGTTGCCTGAGGAAACACCTCTGAGTTGGGGGCAGAAATAGAGGGTGCACCTTTCAGGAGCCTGTGTTGTCACTGTGGGGACCCAGGTGGGCCTGTGGGATGCCAGCATCCTTCCACGTGACTGGACAGGGGTACTAACCAGGGAAGTGGGCATCAGGCAGGTCGCTTGCTTTCTCTCAGGGGCAAGATAAGAGCATAGCCCCTTCAGGTCGCCGAGTGTGGGGAGGTGACGTAAAACGGCTTGGTGACCCCGAGTGGAAGTAGGGGTCAAGCTCACATGCCCAGGTGTATAATGCCTTCTGTTTTCTTCCAGGAAAGCTTAGTCTGCCCCAGGGGGTGGGAAGAAGGACCTTGTGGCTTAGGCTAAAGGACAGATTGTTCCCACTAGTCACTGGCCGGTAGTACTGTCCCCAGCCCCTGGTGCTGGCATGCCTGTGGCTCTGAGGCTTCATTAAACCTGGACCACGTGGGTTCTCCCACCTTTGGAGGAGCTGAAACCATGTGCCCTGTCCTACATGAGATCCTGTTATTTCAGGGCCTGCATCTTCCCCCAGTGAGGGCTTCTGTCTTTTCCTTCTGGGGGAAATTCCTTCCTTCGCCTCTCTCCAAGCTTCCCTCAGAGGGCCCCTCACAAACATAATTTCCCTAATGAGCTTGTGAAATCCAAGCCAGGAAGAGAAGAGCCCCATTATAAGCCTTTCCTGAGCCAGGTTAATGAAGTTCTTGCTTGAAAGAGAGAAGAGAGGGGAGAAATACCAGGAGAGAAAGGTAAACTTGTATCTCACATGATACTCGTGCCCTCTCTAATCATCAGTAGCAGCAGCATGCTGGGGGCTACCAAGATTCTTCCTTCGCTCTAAAGTGGGTGACAGAGTGGCCTGGTGATTGCAAGGGGCAGGGCAGGGCAGTGCCCAGAGGCCCTGGGCAGGGCAGTGCCCAGAGGCCCTGGGCAGGAGTAACGGTGGGAGAAGGGGATTTTTGGCTGGGAAATGGGTACCTAAGTTTTGTGAGTGAGTGCCTAGTTGGTGGACTCTGTATCCCTGAAAAGCTTTGTTTGCAAGACAATTTGGGGGAAAAGGGCTCAAGACTGCCTGACTGCCATGTGCCAACTGTGACCTGGAGCAGTGTTATGAATCCTCTGAACATCCGCCCTCAGTAACCTTAACGTAAAGCACCCTCACTCTGGCCCTCATTCTGTGGCCCTATATAGGCTGGGGGTGAGTCCCTCCAGCCCTCAGCTCAGAGGACGTGTTTTGAGACCCAGAGGGCTGGGAGATAGAGAGCTGGTGTGCTGTTTGAGGTGCTGGTCTAGAGAATGAGGAAGCCAGGACTGAGGTGATGCTGTGTGATCTTAGGAAGCTGTGGTCCCTTCTTGGGCCTCAGTTTCCCAACTTTGAGGGTAAAGTCTCTGCCCTGCCCACTCACAGGGCACATATAAATAATAATAGTTCATCCTTATCGAGTTCTTCCTAGGGGCTCTGCTGCCCTAAAAGCCATACATGTACATCTTGTTTAGTCCTGTATGGTAGGAACTATGATCCTATTTTACAGATGGAGTCACAGAGGCACAAATAACTTGCCCAAAGACACAGCCAAAAGTGGCTAAGGCAGTCTTCAGAGTCAACACTCTTAACCATCACACTGTGCTTGGGTAGAGGAGGATTTGCTTTCCAAATTCTTGGAGTGTCAAAGCTGGTCCTCCCCACCCTCAATCTCCAGACACTGGCTGGACCTGCCCAAGGTCCCAGAGCCTGGTGGTGAGCTCTGCTCTTTCCCCTCAAAGGGAATCTGGAGGAGGCTGAACCCAGGGACTCAGGACACGAGCTGTGGATGGGACTGTTGGAGAAGCAAGTGGGGGAGGTCTGGGGGTGGCGGGAGAGGACAGATGGTCGACAGCGGCAGCAGCCTCGCCTCCCTCTGCACTCAGGAGGAGATCTGCATCATCGCACTGGGGCTGCCTCCCGCCCCTGCCAAAAGCCGGCAACTGCTCCCGGGTGAACAGCAGCTGCTGCCCCAGGAGGGCTGCCTGCGGCTGATGCCACGTGGGAGGCTGAGCCATCGGGGCCAACCTGGCTCCCAGTTGGAAGGGTAAAAAGAAGGAAGCAGAATTCCTCCCAAACCTCTGCTGGGCCAGGCCCTAGAAAGCACTGCCTCGTCTTCATTTCATCCTCTCAACAACCTGCAGTGTGCAATCATGTGACCGCCCAGTTAACAGAACAGAACTGAGGGCTAGAAACTGTGGGCAGAAAACATGCAACTGAAAGCAAAGGGGGCAGCTGAGCATGGAGAGTTTACAAGCCCTGCGGGGGAGATGCAAGCTTGCCCACAGCCTAAAGACTCAGAGTCAGCATTTGCTCAGCACCTGTTTCGGGCCTGGCGATGCACTGGGACCTTTAGCTCCATTTTATAGATAGGCAAATTGAAGTTCAGAAAGAAGGAGGTGGCCAGGGTCATGCATCTGGCTGTGTCAGAGCTAACAGCAGTTCTCTGCCCTCCTCGAAGTTTTTAGTCTGTTGGGAGAAACAGATTCATACCAGACCCAAAGCAACTGAGCGGTGATTGAGATACAGACTCCTCTGGGAGACAGAGACAGGAGGGAGAGTGCCAATCAAAAGCACGCCATGAAGGAGAGAGAAATGTGTGAGTGGGGACATCTGGGCTGCTGAGCACCAGTTTAAAGGCAAGATAAGAGGAGGGCATTCTAGGCATAGGAGGAGCGGGAGCAAAGGCCTAAAGGCCGAGCACGTCAGGATGATGCTCCAAGAACTGTGAGGGTCTCCTGGGAGGCTGGAGCCCTGGCCATGAGAGTAGGGAGGGGAGGAGGCAAGGTGGTTCCCTGGTGGGGTCCCCTGGGGAGTGGAAGCCTCTCTGAGGTTTGGAGGAGGGAAGGTATATGGGAAATGGCTGGGAGGAAGAGAAACAGGGCACAGGCCACAGAGAAGTGGGAGAGGAAGAACTGGGTGTGAAGAGAGGCACTGTGGGCAGGGATCCTGGGTTCAGTTGGACCAGTGTTCCTGGGCTCAGGTGCTGGCATCAGACACACCTGGGTTTGAGTCTTGGCTTGCTGTGTGGCCTTGGAAGTTGCTTGCCCACTCTGAACCTTGGCTTCTCCCTCCCTAAATAAACAGCTGCCTTCAGGGGTTGTTGTAGATGGTAGCTGTGAACCCAGGGCCTTTCATTTCTTCCTTCCAACTTAGGAAGTAGGAGCTGTCATTTCCCCCATTTCATAGAAGGTCAAACTGGTGACTGATCATGACTAGGATGTAAAGATCCAGACATTTAAGCCCATCTTGAATAATTAAATGAGTCATGTCTGCTCCAGGGGTGGCTGAAGTTCTTTTGGACCAGCATTACCCTTTAGCTTTTCAACCTAGTCCTGTTCCCACCGCCTCCCTCCCCCAGGTGTTAATCCTCCAAATCAGGCTCCACCTGGGGGTCTGCTCCTAGACAACCCCATCTGCAACAGGTACATTTACATTCCAAACAGCATGGCTGAGTCCTTGCTGTGCCCACAGACTGCTCTTGTGGGCAGCGTGACCCCAGAGGCCAGTTCTCAAATCCCACCCTTCCAAAGGCTCAAGGAGGAGAAGGATGAACCCATGAACATGAGGAATCTGTGAGCCAGGAGGGGGCCTGTGGAACTGGTGACACTGGGCCCTATAGTGGGCTGATTGTTGTTGTTTAGCCCTAAGTCATGTTTGACTTTTGTGACCCCATGGACTGTAGCCCACCAGTCTCCTCTGTCCATAGGATTTCCCAGGCAAGAATACTGGAGTAGGTTGCTATTTCCTTCTCCAGGCAGTCTTCCTGACACAGGGTCAAACCTGTGCTGGGGGTCAGGAGAGAGGAGGCAGGCTCTACAGAGGGAATCTTGCCTATCTTGGATTTTGACCTTGAGTAGGAGATACTCCTCAGGAAGGGAGGGGAGAAGACAAATCAGGGAGAGAAACATGGTTTGCAGCAGCCTGCAGAATTGAAAAGCAGTGCTTTCCAGAAAATTCAACTTATAAATATCATGGGGGTAGAAAGTTCCTAGAGGAGAGAGGAGAGAAACTCAGGAGGCAAGGGCCTAATCGCAGAAGTCACTGGGTGGCCCACGTGAAGCTCATTTTTTTAAATGTTATAATTTAAAACAGTTTTAAACTTCAGAAAAATTGCTGAAAGTAGCATAGAGTTCCCATACACCCAACTTCCCCTATTTCTAACATCTTACATTAGCATGGTATTTTGTTACAACTAAATATTAAGTACGTTATTAAGTAAAGTCCACACTTGATTCAGATTTCTTTATTTTTTTACCAAATACCCTTTTGCTGTTCCAGGATCCCACATTACATTTAGTTGCATGTCTTCTTAGATTCCTCTTGACTGTGACAGTTTCTTAGTCTTTCTGTGCTGTTGATGATCTTGGCAGTTTTGAAGAGACTTGATCAGGTATTTTGTAGACTGCCCCTCAACTGGAATCAGTCTAATGCTTTTCTCGTGATTAGACTGGGGTTGTGGGTTTGGGGGAGGAAAAGCCCAGAGATAAAGGGCCACTTTCATGAAGTAATAAGAGTACTTGCTGCCAACAGGACTTAACACCATTGTTGTTGACCTTGACCCCCTGGCTGAGGCAGTGTTGGTCAGGTTTCCGCACTATAACTGTGAAGTTACTCTTTTTCCTCCTTTCCATACTGTCCTCTTTAGCAGGAGGTCATTCTGCACAACCCACATTATGAGGTGGGGGAATCATGCTTCACTTCCTTGAAGGTGAAGGTTTTGAAATATACATAATATGTGTGTGTGTATATATATATATATTTTTTTTTTCTTTTCCTTTTGGTCATGCCTTGCAACATAGTTCCTTGGCTGGGGATCCAACCCATGACCTCTGAATTGGGAACATGAAGTCTTAACCATTGAACCTCCAGGGAAGTCCCAAGATGAGAGGTTTTAAACAGAAAATTCACTATCAGATTTTCTTTTTAAAACCCAGTTCTGACAAAGATGTGAGAGAGTAGACACCCTGTTGGTGGACGTGGAGATCGGAACAGTGCTGTGAAGGGATGGTGTGACACATCCATCTACTTGTTAAATGCACTCATTCTTTGATCTAGCAAGTCAGCCCTGCGGATGTGCTCATCCACAGGTGCAGAGATGCCTGGCAGTATTAGTAGCCACCGGAGACGTGAAACAACTGAGCGCCCATTGACTGGGCAATGGATGAAAGAATGAGATTCATCTCACAAAATACCAGCCATCAAAAAGAAACAGGTGGGGACTTCCCTGGTGGTCCAGTGGCTAAGACTCCACGCTCCCAATGCAAGGGGCCTGGGTTCCATCCCTGATCAGGGAACTAGATCACACATGCTGTAACTATGAGATTCTGCATGTTGCAACTAAAAAAAAAAAAAAAGAAAGAAAAACAAAATACAGATGCCACAGTGAAGACAACAAAGATTGAAGATCCCGGGTTCTGCAACTAAGACCTGGTGCAGCCAAACAAACAAATAAATGAGTTAAATCTGCATGTGTGGATGTGTGAAATTTTCCAAGATGAATTATAAGTGAAAAAAAGGTAATCGCAGGCTTATATGCATGATATGATGTCATTTGCATGAGTACAAAGGATGTACATTTATATATGCACATAGAAATAGAAAATGTAAGACAGGACCCACAAGGCACCATCACCCATGGTGATTCAGGAAGAAGGGGTGTTCTGGGGGCAGAGGAAGAGGGGGACTGTTACTTCTCACTGTACACTTCTCTGAAATTTTGCACAATAAGCCAGTACTGCTTTCTCCATAAAATGTTTTTAATATTAAGACTATTTCTTTTAAGATTTGCATTTTAAGGCTGCATTGCAGCTGTTTGTGAAGGGAGAGTTTGGGGAACCAGAGTGGAATGGAGAGACCAGTTCAGAGATATAAGGGTATTTAGATGACAAGCTGAGGAAGGGCAGGAGAAGATAATTTGGGATTACTTACGAGGTACAGCTGGGGCTTCCCAGATGACACTAGTCGTAAAAACAAAACAAAACAAAAAGCTCCACAAAAACCCACCTGTCAATGCAGGAGATGTAAGAGACACAGGTTCCATCCCTGGGTCAGGAAGATCCCCTGGAGGAGGGCATGGCAACCCACTCCAGTATTCTGGCCTGGAGAATCCCGTGGACGGAGGAGCCTGGCGGGCTACAATCCAGGGGGTCATGGAGAGTCGGACACGACTGAAGCAACTTAGCATGGAGCAGCATGAGGTACAGTTGAGAGGACTTGGTGACTTTTTGGTGGAGGGGTGTTTCACACAGGGTGTGGAAACTGACAGTGCCCTCAAAGTGGGTTATGGAGGAGTGTGTAACAAAGGGAGAGCTCATAAGTCCAGGAAGGACAAGGGGAGGCCAGCCAGGGGTGACTCCACAGTCGGGTTGGGTGCATGTGGGAGGCAGAGGGAGGGCAAGGTCCTGGAACTGGCAGGGCAGCTGCAGGAAAGGGTGCCTGATAGGAAATGAGGCTCACAGGGGCCAGCCTGCCCCTGACCTGGCCGAGAGGGAACCTGGGGAGCAAATACCCCACCCTCACTCCTGCCTCCCCCAAGTCCCACTGCAGATGGGGAGGGCACTTCCCACTGGCTAAACCCACCTGGAAGCCAGAGCAAGTTTGGAGCAGGGTAGAGAAGGGCGGGAGGGGGCCCAGAGAGAAGAGTGTGGAGTCTACATTGACGTCCAGGCGCCTGGCTTGGGTGCTTGATGTGTGGATGTGCCCCTTGGAGACATGGATCAGAGGAGGAGGAGGTTTTCAGGAGGATGAGTAATTCCATTTATGGCCTAATTCGGTCAGCATAGGCTGTCTGCATAACGAACAGCCCCAAATATGTTGGGGGGTATGGTGGGATATTGGGTTGGAGCTTAAATCCCGAATGGTCCATCTTCCTGTGTTGGTCCCCCTGGCATCTTTTGAAGCCACCCACCTTCCTCTCTACTTGCCTGGAACCCTACCCAGGTACATAGGCTCCTGCCTGAATGTGGAGGGTGGACTCTGGAGGACCTCTGTTGAGGGACACACACCAGGAGTGTTGGACCTCTCCCAGTTCTGTAGGGTCACCAGGATG